TGCATGCGTACGTAGTTTTTCCATGAATCGATAAATCCCAAAAAGAAAGGTGGGGGTGGAGAGGTCCTGTGGTTCTTCCCCGGGAAAATTTTGATTCCTAGGTGGCGGGAAATGAGCTTTCCTCGACTTCTGTGGTGTCTTTTAATGACTTTTAAATTCTTCAAAATTCAAGGTTCCCCCCTTGAAAACGATTCAATTAATCAATGAACTCCAAAGATAAAGGGTCCGGGTTCCCCGGAAAAATTTCGATTTCTAGATGGCGGGAGATGAGCTTACCTGACTTCTGTAATGTCTTTTAATGACTTTTAAAGTTCTTCAAAATTCAAGGTTTTCCCCTCTTTAAAAAGGTCGGGTAAATTTTTCTCATTTTTTATTTTGTGTGTGTATACATACATAAACAAATGAGTAGTTGCATGCGTATTCTTTTTTCCATGAATCGATAAATACCAAAAAGAAAGGGTGGTCCGGGGGTTCTCCCCCGGGAAAATTTTAATTCCTAGATGGCGGGAATCTGTCTCTTATACACATCTAGATGTGTATAAGAGACAGTTGAGGCCCTTTTTTAACAGGTTAAACGATCTATCTTAAATAAAAAAAAAAAAAAAAAAAAAATCAGCTCACGGGTCCTGAAAAGGTAGGTCTAGAATTCTTTTCTTTTTCCCCTTTTTTTGTTGCACATGGGAGAGGTCAGGACCCATGATCCCCTCCCCCCAGATCCGCCAATGTGAATTGCGAAAAAATGTAACTCGGTTGGGTACTGGATAAACATTCTCTTTCCCATCCTTCTCCTTCTTCCCTCCTTCTTTTTTTGCATTTCCGATCATACAAAATTCTCCAGACATTATATATTTTTCGCCAAAAAGTGGGGGGGGGGCGGCCCCCCGGCCCCAGCTTCCGCCGCCCATGCATAATATTAAAATATATGTTTACATAAACAATATGAAGACAGGCACAGCGGTCTACAATCAAGGATTTTACAATGAGATTGGATTTTTTAAAATAATGTCGTAATTCGATAAACCTATTTAATACAAAATATGCCAAAAATTGTTTAAAATATTCAAAAAATGTTTTTATTAGGATTATAAATAATATTGTAATTTGGTAAAAACTTACGTTCTTTATTAGACGATGGAACATACGATGGGCAATTCAGTACAGCTGTTGTTCCGGATTTTGTATAATTCCAACATTTCCAGCCGTCGAAAGTGAAAGGACAGTATTCAGCATCTAGATTGAAATACCACATCAGATATATCAGTGTCATCATGATCGTATAAATGTCAAGAATCAACATTTTGTTTCGTTTGATCAATGCGTGTAGTATTTTCCATAGATAATATACTATCACCGTCCTTAAAAACTGCCACATTTTTTGGGATTGTGAAAGATTTATATAATTATGCTTACAGTTTTGTTAGCAGCTAATATACATCAAAGAACTAATATGGTGTAGTTGTCAAGAAAAGAAAAATCAGAATTAAAGTTTCGTAAAGAGGATGAAATTTATTTTACTAAAAATCTCAAACATTACGATAAGTAATTTGTTACATAAAAGCGTATCTTATATTTAATATGTGAGAATTCTGTATTCGAAAGAAATACCCGATATTTAGAACGAAGCACATAAAATATCGAGAAGTGTTCTAGTTTGCCCCGGAGATTGGTACAATAAATTGAAATGATATATAGGCAATAATCTGAGGAGGGTTTCCAAGATACTGACGGTGCTCTCTTAAAAAGAGAACGTTTCAGAAGCATTTTATCACATCTATCGACATTTGTATTGTAAAGCTTGAACGTGAGAACAGTTTAACGTCTTTTTTATTCCAACGAATTGAAATAATTTATAAATTATATTTGCATCTCTATATTATAATGTATCATGCAGAAGAGAGAAGATATTCTGAAATTGGTTTGATTTTTTGGTGAGTCTACTGTTAGGAAAAAGCATTGGTTTTATAAGACTAAATTTGGTTCATAATTAGTAAACATATAGGCCTAGCAATATTTTTTTACTCCTTAGGCATTAGACCTATGCACATATTTTAGTCGTTTGCATAATCTATTTTATTGGTGAGATACATAAAAGGTCAACCGTATTCAATTCTGATGTAATTTAAGTTTTATGATATCATATCAATAGTTTTCTTCTTTCTTCTCATAAATATGTGGAAGTCATCATGTATGTAATACAATATCATATATAGCATGCGAACACAATTCTGTTTAGCATATGACACTTCAATAATTTTCTTCAATAAATAGGCCTACCTAACAACTAGGACTGAGATTGTACTATTTTCATCTTCCCAAATTTGATGAGGTGTCGTTGACCAATCTAGGAGTTCATATATATATATATATATATATA